AATATTTTCTTTCATCGAGGCTCAGAGCCCCAGCCTACATGTTGGAGGAATGTCAGAGGCTGACTGCATGTGTTCAACTGATGTTCCCTGTCCACCCCAGATCTGGGGGACAGAGCAAAGAGGTGGCTGTGGACTGCAATAAAAATGGGAATTCTTAGCTGGGCTGGTGGCACATGCTGGTAACCCCAGCACTTTGGGAGGCTCAGCCTCAGGCAGGAGGACAGAAAGTTCAAGCTTAGCTATGGCAATTTAGTGAGACTTTGTCTCAAAATATAAAATAAAAAGGGCTTAGGATGTACATTAGTGTAAAGTCTCTGTGTTTAATCCTTACTACTGAAAAAAAAAAAGGAATCCCTGCACTTGTGCCTAGAACCCCAGTTTCTCAGGCGGGAGGATAGTTTTTCTGCTGGTGAATGCATGAGCAACTTAAACCCAATGGTGAGTGAACAGCTGTGTGATACATGAAGACATAGGCAACAGGAGCTATCCAAGCCTCTTTTGGGGTGACTGTTGCCTGCTGAAGGAAGCCTGCCCACCTGTCCACCACCCAGGCCACGCAGGGAACTCTGTCAATGTCAAAATCCATACCTAGGGGATCTACTGGACTGTCTAAGTTCAAGTCCTCTAGGGTGCTACATCTTCACATGCTAAGAGAGATGGGTAAGATGGACATAGGGTGACCATCCGAAGAGGAGGTGCATTTTCACTAAAAAAGAAAAGAAAAATTCAAGTAGAAACAATTCATTTATCTAACCCAGAAGCAGTTCTCATCTGCAACCCTGCAATCCGCTTACACAACAACTGTTTTGGCAAGCCCCCCCATGTCCCAACAAATATGAAACTGTGCTTGCCATTTGTCTAAGGAATCCTGCATTAATAAACATGAAGAGGAACACTTTTACCTCCCACTCTCAATGACAGGACAAAACAAAGACCAGCTGTGTTCATCAATGAGGCCTTGTTCTGCACATAAAGGCTAATTACATTTTGCTTCAAGCCTACACATAGAAAACTTTACTGCCGCCGTCCCCATCCCAGCCAGAGTATGCTGTCCTAGCTGACGCATGGTGATGACTGTGCACCAACTAGGGGTCTTGGCCAGCCTGGGCACTGTTGACCTGTAGGTTTCTTCCCAATATGGAGGAAAGGAATAGACATGTAGTGTGTGTCCCTCCAGGTCATGGGAAGATGATACTACCTGGGCCAAGCACATAGAGCCAGCAGAAGCATGTGTGGGTGCTTCTTCGGCACTCACCAGGATGAGTGCTGCTCACAATGCGCCCTTCATGGCTCTTCGCAATTACCCAGTGGCTCAGCTGGAAATATGCCCATTGTACAGGTGAGCTGGGGAGGTCATGCTCTGGCCAAAGGAATACAGACAGGACCAAGCAAGCAATGCACCATCTCTAAGGCCCACATTTCACTCTGCCCCCCAACTCCCTCCCTACATTCTCTACCAAACAGTAGAGAATCCCTTTTATCAGGGAGAAAAAGACAATGTCCTGAAATGTTTTAAGACCATTTACAAACAGGTATGTTAGGTCTAATTAAGCATACATAGGTTGGAACTGAGGTAGATAGCTGAAGTAACAAACCTTTCCCAGAAAATAAGGGGAGAGCCATGTGCAAGGGATATGGGGTCATTAATACTGAGACCTCTGCTTCCAGTTAAGAAAGCAGCCCCAGCCCCACCACCTCAGGCCACTTTCTACCCTTTCTGTGGATTACATAAGCTGGGGAGTATTCATAGTTAGTCTTGTTAGCATCCAGACCATTTCTGATCAGGGAGATGCCAGTTGGGTTCAACTCAAAGCCCAGTCCTGTCACACCTGTCAACCTGTCCACCTTAGGGGCCAGTCCTTCACAACTCTGGGCAGGTCCTCCCAAACACCAGCCTGGCCTGGATCTTCCATAAGCTTCCTGCAACCTGATCATAACTCATCTTCCAGTTCCAAGTCCCAGCTGGGTGTGATGACCTGCATCTGTAGCCCCAGCTACTCAGGAGGCTGAGGCAGGGGGATGGCTTGATCCTAGTAGTTCAAGACCAGTGTGGGCAATACAACGAGATCCTGATTCAAAATAGAACAACAAAAAAGCCCCCAAGGCCTTTGTCACAGTCTCTGAGGAAGTATCCTTGATGATTCTCTTTCTTCCTATTCTCCAGGGAGTCCAGGTGTGGGGAGAGTAAGGCATGGAATTATAGCTCCTCCCAAAGGCCCTCACCTTCTGGGTTCTTTCTAGCTGGGGTATGGGACAGTCCTGCTAGCACTGGCCACAGGGCACCGTGCTGCTCTTCACAGCTTCCCTCCTTTGTCCTGCTTGCCTCCTGCAAAGACCTTGCCAGGTACCGTGCCCTGTGCCCTGGATCCCAGCAGTGGTCACATGGAGCTGTGATGGTCTTCTCCCTGCTGGGCCATGGAGGGCTCAGGATCCAGAACCTGGTGTAGGGAGTTGGCCTCTGGGGATGCCTACCATCTCTGAGCCTCATTTGCTACTTTCCCGAGCTGGTCTCTTGCTCTATGTGATCTACTCACCACCCTACTCACCACTAGGCAGGACAGGAGGGGCCACAACCCTGTCAGAGGTCAGGAGACAAAAGCTACCATCCACATGCAAGACATACCATCTTACAAGACAGAATAATTGCCCTTCTCCCTACACTTGTAGTTTCCATTTACTATAGGTTTATGAAACCAAGCAAGCAACATGTCAGTTTTCATCTGTGTGGGTTTTGGGGAAAAGTCTCTTTGGCCTTAACATACACCACTAGGAGGGGAATGGGCCTAAATCATTTCTTCCTGAGTCCACATCAGTGAGCACCACTTCCTATCTGATGCCAGAAGACCACAGTTCTCTGAGTGCTCTAGGGATCAGCAAGACCAGCCCCTGGGGGCCCTGGGGTTACTAAGCTCAATCTCATGACAGCTCCAAGATTTAATGTTCTTAATGTCATTTTGATCATGCAGTATTTGTCTTATTCACTTAGCATGTCCTCCAGGTTCATCCACATTGCTGCAAATGATAGAGTTGCCTTCTTTTTAAAGGCCAAATAGTATTCCACTGTGTATACACACCATATTCTCTATATCCATTTGTTCACTGGTGGACACTAAGGGTGTTCCAGATCTCGGCTACTATGACTAAAGTTGCACTGAACAGGGGAAAGTCTTCATACATACGACGCACTCATCTTACTTCCTTTGGCTGTACAGTGGACTACAGGAAGTGGGATTACAGGATCATATGGTAGTTCTATGTTTAGTTTTATGAGGGCTCTCCCTACTGTTTTCCATAATAGCTGTGCTAATTTACATTCTTACCCACAAGGTACAAGAGTTCCTTTTTCTCTGCAGCTTTGCCAACACTTGCCATCATGAAAATGTTTTTAAAATGCATAAAACAGCAAACCCTGGTCAATTATGGAGACACAAAATTATAGATGAATAAGCTGTACTGATGCCTTTTAGAAAGAGGTATGGTTTAATAGAAGTAATGAAAACTAGTGGTATGATCAAATCTATTGCCATGTAGAAATATGCCAGCCAGTAAAATGATGTGGGGAAGACAGAATTTACCAAAACATTAATTAATGAATCATCTACTAATCAAATTATTTTAGAAAAAAATGGTACAGGTAAAGTCCAAACAGAAATAATTGGGAAAAAAAAGATGAAATAGTGGCAAAAAAAGGGGGACAGGAACCCTGAGGCATGTCAAGGTGACTGAGTTTCATTGTGGCAGTTGGTGTGGTTTCTGCTGTGGTTACAGCTTGGGGGTGAGAAGGTTGTGCAGCATGGGCACCCTCAATCAGCTAATGGTGGCTGTGTTCTCAGATAGCACTGGCCCAGGAACACGAGAAGTTAATATGACAGCCACAGAATTTCAAAGCAAGATTTTAACCTCTACCCTACCGTAGACTTAGGTCATTTTGCACACAGAAAGTCCTATTTTCCCAGAGAGAGAAGGGTAAATGATTTGAGGGCTTAGATAGTCCAGGGGCACAGGGACTGACCAAGATGCTTTGGTTTTTGTGCAGAAGTTTTATATTTGTTGGAAAAATAGGTTCTGATCACCAGACTGTGTAGCTGTGCTCTCAAGGACTTGGGCTACTGAATGGGCTAGAGTACAGGGTGAGGAACACACCAACTCAGTGTCCTGAGGACAGTGGAGGAGCAGCAACCTCAAAACCCAAGGGCAAATGTGTTGGGGGGTACAGGGATGCTGAGTACCAGCACCCCTACCAGTAGAAGAGCCCAAGGTGGTGAGTGGGAGTGCTACTCAGAAGCACCCTCACCAGTGCCTACTGGGTGCCAAGAGCACCACTGTTGTTGGGCACACAGATTTCTTGGGGGAGAGAATAGCCTTCCAGCACAGGAAAAAGCATTTCAAGTACTGTCTGGTTCTGCTTGCCTGGTTATTAGCCAAGGAGGCATGGGTAGGAGTGGTCTTTGTCACTTGCCATCTTCTCCTGACTTATGGCAGTATTCTATCCTCTCTGGTATGTGCCACAAAGTATATTCATAATGAGTCATGACGAATTCTCCTGACAGGAGTCAGACAGGAAGCAAGCCCTGGGTGACCACCCACCCAAAAATGTAGTTAGGGGTCATAAGAACCAATCCACCTGCATGGGAATGTGCTTAATGTCTTTTAGGGGTCCTGAGGAAAAAGAATAGGCTCAGGTAAAAGGTGATTTGCCCAGACCAAGCTCCGCAAAGAAATGGCCCAAGTATTGTATTCTGTTCTAAGCTAACTCTTTCCCAAGCTTTCCACAGAAGGAAGGGAGGCATCGAACAGGCTCGTAATAATGAAAGAAGTTCTTTCATAATAATGAAAGAAAGAAGTGCTGTCACACCTGGGGATTGATCTGATGTGACTGATTCCCTGAAATGACACTGAGTTGTCGTAGCAGGACCAAAGCCTTCTCAAACCTGCCAGGCCAATCTCTCATGGATTAGCAGAAACAGGAGTAACCTGAGTATAACCAAGCAGGAACTTACTTTGCAGTAGTTTCTTCATCGTATTTGGTTTTCAGGTCAAATAATTCTGTTCGAGTTTTTTCGAGGGCTAAAAGGCAAGGACAGAAAACCACAATATAAGATACTAATTGTTTTATTTAAATTTAAAAAGTAAAAGTATAAAAGTAATATGTCCTCATTTCAAAACAGGCAAAGATGCCAGGCATGGTAAGTACATGCCTGCAATCCCAGAACTCTGAGAGGCTGATGCAGGAGTGAAATTTGGGCAATTTGGCAAGACCCTATCCCAAAATATAAAAATGGCTTGGATGTGAAGGCCTTTTGTTCAATCCCCAGTACTGTAGAAAATAAACTAGTAACAAAACAAAAACAAAAACCCACAACAATAACTACCACCATACACAAAAGAAACCCTAATAGGCAAAGATGATCAAAGCACCATGAATGGAACAGTCCCTCTCATTTCTATCTCATTTCAACCCAAGCGCCTCCTAAGAGAACTACTGCTCATAGCTTACTGCATAGATTTCCTACTTTTCAATATTTTTTATCATTTAAAAATATTTCCACACATAATTGCACATAAAGTAATGCCCTGCTTAATGACACTTTTTATGATGCTTCTGTCAATGGCAGACTGCATATACAAAGGTGGTCCTGTAAGATGAGAAGAGAGGTGGATAATTCCCATTCACCAGGGCTGTCCTAATCGTTTTCATGTCACAGTACCATGCATTACTCTCATGTTTGTGGGGACGCTGGTGTAACAAACCTTTGCACTGCCAGCTGTGCAAACATATAGCATGTACAATTATGCACGGTGCATGATACTTGACCATGGTAATACAAGACTATGTTACTGGCTTAGATATTTACTATATTATATTTTTTATCTTTTTGAGACAGGGTTTCACTATGCAGTTCAGGTTGGCCTTAAACTCACTTTGTAGCCCAGGCTAGCTTCAAACTTGCAGGGCTCCTCTTGCTTCAGCCTCTTCAGTACTACGATTACAGGTGTGTGCCATCATGCCTGGCAATCATTATTTTAGAATGTACTGTTTTTTGGTGGTGGTGGTGATACTGGGATTGAACCCACAGCCTTTGCACTGAGTCACATCCCCTGTCTCATTCTTTTTCTTTTTTTTTTTTTGAGACAGGGTCTCGATAAGTTGCTAAGTTTTCTGGGCTGGGCCTGAACTTCCCATCCTCCTGCCTCAGCCTCCCAGAGTACTAGGATTACAGGTATGTGAATTGATGCCCAGCAAATATACTCCTAGTTATGCCAAGAAAAAAAATTTACTGGGAAAGAAGGTGCTGGGTCACATCAGTCACAGTTTTGTCTATCTTGTGTTTGTGGTGTCATGAGGCCTCAACAAGTGACTGGCCTGCCCTGTCACTGAGTTTGTAGCCTGGGCTACAAAGTGAGTGCATCTGATGTCTGTACCATTACAAAATCCCCCAGTGGCACTTATCCCAGAGCACACCTCCTCTGCACAACCGTGCACCTCCTACCACCAATAAATAGGATGTTAGGAAGACTTGCCCTTCTCCCTTGGTGTAGGGCACAGAAATCTCTCCATATGAGGACATAGGCAACATCAACGCAAATAAGTTCTTCTTTCAGGATAACCAGAAGTGTAGCTGCTGGCTAAAGCATTGAGTATTCAAACTTCTCATGAATTCCACCCACCTGGTTTCCTAGGAGGCAATTTGTACTCTCATGTGCATCATAAGTGGGGACCATTTTCCTTTACTCTCACCAACACTGGGTATTATCAATTAAAAAAAAATCCAGAACTTGGTGTGGTGGCACACACCTGTCATCCCAGCACTCTGGGAGGGTGAGGAAGGAGGATCCCATTTTCAAGCCCAGCCTAGGCAGCTTAGTGATATCCTGTGTCAAAACAAAAGGAGGGGCTCTGGGGATGTATTCCGTAAAGGCCCTGGGTTCAATCCCCAGTATTACATTCATACCTACATAAAATCTATTTGGCTGGTAGGTAAAACAATCTTTCATTCATTTAATTTTCCTTATGTGTATTAGCTATTTATATTTCTTCTATGAACTGCTTGTTTCTATCCTTTGCCCCTTACTCTACTGGGCTCTATTTTCAATTTTCCCCAGTGCTGGGAATGGACCTCAGGGCTTTGTACATGCTAGGCAAGTACCCTACCAAAGCGCTACACTCCTAGCCTGGCCCTTAAGTTACGGATATAATTCATCTGCTAAATTGTTGTGCTAAATTGTCTGCTAAATTCATCTGCTAAATTCATCTGTTGTGATTCTCTCTTCCTCCATCATTTGTGTTTTAACTTGGATTTTTTTTTTTTTCTCATTTAAATTAAAGATACAGTGCTGTTTCCCTTTCAGGGGAAGAAAAAGGGAAGGAAAAGAAAAAAGTTCAAAAGAAACTTTAGCATAACCTTTTTTGGTTAACTTTTAAATCTTAAAGGTTCTGCTATTATTGTTCTCCTTAACTTCACTCAGGGTAGAAATAAGGTCCCCCTCCCCCTTCCGTCTCCTATTATTGTTCCAAATGAAATGTCAGTCCTTGACAGTTTGGTGATTTAGACATGTTTGTTGGAAAAAAGAGCAGGAAGAGGATGGCGGTGGAAGGAATGGAAATGGCTTGCAGATCCTCCCACCTCTACATTAACAACTCAATGCCATGACTAATGGAATCAGGTAAAGCAGCCGGGAGGGATGGGGAACAATTCTGCAGCATGGGCTCCCTAGGCTCTGCAACAGTTAGCAAAAGGGACCTTGACAGCCCTGGAAACTGACCATGAGGGTCCAATTCAGCCTTCCCCACATCAACTCAACTAGGATGAAGAGCAGCATCAAACCTGTTTGCAGAGTCTGAAGTTTATGCTCGGCCTCTTCCAGCTTTGAGGTGGTTGACATCTGTGTCTCCTGTAGCTTTCTAAAAAGAAAGAGCAGCAAGCCAGATTGGTTACTTTGTTATCAATGGAGCTGCACCAGGAGCCTCAGAGCTCTGCTCATTCCCTTTCTTTTCTGGGAAGTATGGCTGCCAGCAGGCATACAATCGGCTGTGCCTCCCAATGCCCCATATGCCTTGGGGCCTGCTCATAATCTCCTGCACCCCAACATTGTAATCTCACATTATGTAACCCGAAATATGAATCCTGTAGGTCTTGACATACAGTGACTCATATGGAAGGTTATCTTAAATGTCACTTGTTTTCGAGATGCCAGATATTAAAAAGAAAAAAAATACCATCATCATGTACTCATTGTTTTCTGAAGTTAGCCTGAGAAGAATGATACATTTACATTCTGCTGACACAAAAAGGAATTTGTTGCAATAAAGGATGTACTAAAGAGATATGACAGCTGTCCCAGCTCTGTTATAATGGAATGCAAATGCAAGTGCAGAACCAAAGGGGGAAATTCTGGGTGTCTCCAACTGCATTCCACATATTTATATTTCCCATGATCTCCAAGTGAATTCCCAGGTCAATAAATGGCATAACTTTCTCCTAATCTGCAGAAAAATCTCTAAACATAAGTTTATTGTTTTTACATCACATGAACATAACATATGCTCTCAACGTAATAAACTTGGGAATACAGAAAAGGAGAAATGATTCAAATAAAGTCACCCTAATTTCTATCACCCATAGAAAAAGCAATGCCAGTATCTTCATGTATTTCAAATATAAAACTAATGGAGCCTCAAAATTTTACAAAAATCAAAATTTATAAGCACTTGGAAAGCTCCTTGGCTTCATTTCTACCCTCAGTTCTTTTGTATCTTTCTAAAATGTTTCTGTATGTACAGAAATACAATGTATTAAGTAATACAGTATAATATAAACAAATATGTAACACACTATAGTCCAATGTAAACTAATATGTAACAAATCATAGGAAATATAAACTAGTATGCAATATACTACAGCAGTAACATAAACAAACATGTAACATACCAGAGTGAAATATAAACTAATATATAACATACTACAGTATAGTATATACTAGTATGTAATATATTACAATGTAATATAAGCTCCTGCTCACTTTCTTTTGATCAAAGGGGATCATAACACACACCATTCTAGAGTTTTTCACTTGTCCCCACATTTTGGAAATGTTCTACTCTAGCATATATAGCTATCCTTCACTCTTTTTAAGAACTAACTTAATGAAACCTCTATGGGTATCTGAAATTGTTTACAGTTTTTTTCTGCTAAATGTTTCCTCAGTGATCATTATGGAGATACTGTGGCATAATTTTGAGAGTAAAATCTTTTGGATAAAATCCTAAAACAGGAATTATAATGGTCAAAGACTTTGTGTAATTCATTTTGTTTTAATCGATACCGCGTTACTTCCTAAAAAAAGGTCTCACCAATTTAGACTCTACCAACAATACATTAAGAGTGTTTTGTATACCTTGCCAACACTGATAAAATCAAACTTAATATTTTGCTGTTGAGTAAAGCTGAGCCTTTTCTCTTTGTAGGAAATGCTTGCTTATTGCCTTTCCCTACTTTTGGTAGGGTCGCCCTTTTTCTTATCCCTTTTCAAGAGCTCTTTGCAGGGGCTGGGGATTTAGCTCAGCGGCAAAAGCGCTTGCCTGGCAAGCGCAAGGTCGTGAGTTCGGTTCCCGGTACCGGAGAAAAACCAACAAAAAAAAAAAAATTAAAAAAAAAAAAGAGCTCTTTGCATATACAGAAAATTAGTTGTCTTTATGTGGTGCAAATATTCCTTCCTACTTTGTTGATACTTTAAAACTTTTTGTTTTTAAAAATCTATTTTTAGTCTTACTTATGTCATTCTCTTGTATGCTTAGACTTCTCTACTCCAAAATTATCAAAAATAAAAGATGAGCCCAAGTTTTCTCAGTATGTATGTGATTTAATGTAATGATCATTATCATTGTTATTGTTATTGTTCTGCACTGATGGGGACTGAACCCAGAACCTTGTACACATCCTCACCTCTAATTATTAACATTCCAATTCCATTTTTTGGCATCAAGAATGAGATAATAAAGATCTAATTTCATCTTATCTCCCTAATAGTCATTTTATCTTTTGTTTATTTTTTGTGGCACCTGGGGACTAAACTCAGGCCTTGCACTGAGCTATATCCACAGGTCTTATTTTGAGACAAAGTCTCCCTAATTGCCTAGGCTGATCTCCAGCTTTGCAGATGTATGCCTCTTTGCCTGGCTTTCATACCTTTTCATATAAATACTCCTTTTATCTAATTGGAAAAATCAATTGAATGATATTGAGTTCCTATGTACGTTTATTTCTGCACTTTTGTGATGCATGAATTTGCTGTGGGCAGATCATTGCACACAATACTGTTTTCTGCATTTTCCACTTGATATATTATGTTGGATACTTCTCCAACTATTGTGAATTCCACACAACTATGATTTTCATGGCTGCATAACATTCTAGGCAGGGATTGCCTTTTACTTGTCCATTTATTGTTGGTAGGACATTTAGATCGCCTGTATTTTTCTCTAGCTATCAATAACATGGTGGAAAATCTCTTTAGACATAAAGTACTTTCTTATGTGGGATTTATTTAGGACTACTTCCCATCAGCGGGGCCAAGGAGGCTGCCATTTTTAGGGCCCAGTCTGTGTTGCTCACTGTTTTCTTGGGGGTGTGCCCTGCCACACTCTCCTGGCAGGGTGGGGCCAGCCTCCATCTGCAAGCTTGGGCAGCCTCAAAGGGACTGACCTTGCCCATGTAGTGAGGCCATGATGACTGAGGCAGTGGCTGTAGTGGCTGGGTGGGCCTGGTCTGGAGTCACACAGCCCTGCCACAGCTCTGATTATTAGCTGCAAAAGCTTAGCAGGTACCCAGCATGTGGCTTATTTTTCCTTCTGTAAAACAAGATAGTGCAGATCCATCCTGGGTGCTCATGGAGGCAATGTAGTAAGTGGCTGGCAAGGTTCTGATGCCAAGTGGGCTTTTGGGTGAGTGGAATCTGGCATTTCCCCTTTTTTATTAAACCACACTAGTATTCCCAAGAGGTCTTGTGAGATACCTGAACTGTTTTGTTGTTGTTGTTGGTGGGGGTGGTGGAGATCGTTCGGAGGGCACTGAACACGCTATACCCTAAGCCCCAATTCCTGAGGTCTCTGTGGAGCTCACCTTACAGAAGTATAAGTGATGCAGTACTAAGTCACAACAAAATTCCAGGTTACTCATGCCCTAACCTGGCCTTTTACTCCTAACTATAAATTTAGTGCCTCCTATTTTATTTTGTCTTTTTGAGATAGGGTCTCACTATGCAGTTCAGGCTGGCCTTAAGCTCACATTGTAGCCCAGGCTGGTCTCAAACTCAAAAACGATCCTTTTGCCTCAGCCTCCCAAGTTTGGAATTATAGGCGTGCGCCACCATGCGTGGCTTCCAGCGCCTCCTATTTTTGTTAATATGAATTTCTTCATGCTAGGGCTAAAACTGAATATCTTAAATTAACCCAACAGTTTTTTTAAAAGATCCAAACTAACAGAGTTAGAATTGGCAAACTCAAGAGTTCTCATAGTTTTATAAGAAACCTTTCATAAACTCATCACACCAGTGAAAAACTAACTCATCCGTGGGAGAACTTTTGGGTAAAGTAAGCCATTGGAAATAAATTGCATCAGTTCATTTATTTCACTAACATAGGCTGAGTACCCCTCATACGAAATGCTAGAGGGACTCCAAGTATTCTGGACTTTGGAGTTTATTGGATTTGGGGATATTTACATAGAGTTTACTATTTGAGCATTCCTAATCCAAAAGTCCTAACTCTCAAATGTTCCCAATATCCTTAACATTTATATATGTATGTGCTGGGGATAAAACATGCTAAGTTCTTGGCCTTATTCATGGTAAGTACACGCTGCACCATGGAGCTAAACCTCCAAATCCCAAATCCTTTTGGAATATTTTAGATTTTTGGGTCAGGGATGCCCAGTTTGTGTGGATTTCTTGATATATGAAATATTGCAAAGTAATGAAAAAAGGCAAAACAAAATGGAAAACTTAAGATTTTGTATATGTGTGATAAAAATATCAGAATTCATTGAAGCAGACGAAGTTCAGTGTGTGCCCAGAGCTTCTCCACAGTGGAACTGTGCCCAGAGGACCTGTCTACTCTCGTCTCAGATGAAGTATAGCCACCAGGTGCCAACTTGTTAATCTATAGTCCTGTGCTAACCTCTGGACCTGTCGGGCTTTGACAGACACCCTCTGTGCCCTGACTGCCAAACACTATCAGCCACTAGAGAAAGACCCGTCCACTGAACTCAGGGTGACCTCACTGATGAATTAAAGATCAAGGGACACTTTCATATTTCAACCAAAATTTTGCCCAGAGCCTTGGGGAGTTTTGTGTACAATCTGGCTGATTCTAAGGAACATTTTCCAACTGTCTTGTAACTATCTTGTCAAATTCAGAGGTAAAATGTCACACTGCTCTAGGAGTACCAGGACCCATACTTACCTCTCCTTCTCTGCAAAATCATTTTGCAACTTTTGTTCCTTCTCAAGAGCAATTGTCTCTGCTTGGCTCTTCAGAGTCTGCTCATATTCTCGGATTTTCTCTTTAAGTGCTTTTATCGTAACCTCTGCAGGAAAAAAGAGAGAAAACCCAACAGTAAGAAACACAGTTCAGTGTGGCCATCTGCATCAGGCTCTCGGAACCTGGGAGGAGCTGTATGGTTTCAACTTGAGTTCCTCTACGCTGACACAAAATCAATGATTATGTGTCCCTTCAGAGACCTTTTACTCCCTAAATGTTACATTGAAATTGCAACGTTTAGGATGAGGAGGGTCAATGGATTTTGCTGGGAAGGAGGGCGTGGGTTTCTTTCACACACTAAAAAATGGGGGGTGAGGTGGAGGCTCAATGGTAAAACATAATATCATCTTATTGGTGAGTCTTAAATTAGTTTTCTACTGAGGAAAGATGAATAAAGTTTTAGTGTGGGTTTAAGTACTTTCTCACAAAGAAAAATGTTCAATGTCATGTGGACTTCGGAAGCAGAGGCAGGTGAGTCTATAGGTTCCTCTGGCCCAGCCACACCTTTGCAGTTTCACAAACGATAGAGAAGGTGAGGACTACGTGGTTTGAATGCTACTTCATCAGCTGGGGGGTTCACCCTGGAACTCTGGTGCTGGGGATGTCCTCTGCCAGAGACTCTGGCCGATGTGGGCTGTGTGGACACACAGATGATGAGGGCCTGGGCAGAGACACTCAGGTAACTGTGAGGAGGCCAGGAAGTGTCCTGGAGCCAGGTATGAGAACTGGGGACTCAAGAGCTGCACTGGGACATCAATGAACCCTGCAGCATCTGGTGCTTCACAGACGAGGTCCCTCAGCAAGCAGTCTATCCTCGGCCCCTCAGTCTTTCTCCTGCCCCTGCACGATGATAGCAGGTGCTTCAACTACTCAAACCAGGTATGTCCAAATAAAAGCAGTGCACAGAGTAGGTCCTATCTCTGATCTGCAGATGCCTTGGGGCAGGACACCCCACTATGCATTTTCCCATAGCATCTCTCCTTGCCCTTCGAGCACTGTGGCCCCAGCCCTGAGACTGGTGCTCTTGAGGACCATTTTCTGCTGCTTATGGATCCATCAGCCTCTCTAAGGAGGCTGGGATGTTTTTACTTTTGCATTCCTAGCACCCAGCAGAGATGGGACAGGAAGAGCTGGGGCGTGACTGAACCAAGGAGGCAGGACCTGGCTGAGGTCACACTGTAAGGCCCCACTGGCAGGAGTGCTCCATCAGGGTGTTGCACAGGTGTTTCCACACAATAGTTGTACATACAGCACAAGTGCTGCTTGCCCTCACTATCATGCAGACCTGGACTAGGAAGGAGGATGCAGGTGCTTTCAGGTAGAGCTTGACTGGCATTTTGAAAGTGTCCTGATCTTGCCTGACTTTTACCCCAAAGTACAGCCTGAGAGTGGCCATGTCATGAGCTACTGTACTCAGCATTTCTTCTAGGCGGCACTGGGCCTCTTCAAAAGGCTGGTAGGCCTGTTTCGTCCTTAAATGCCTGAGGGGGTGGGGAATTTTAATTCTGTCTTCTCTCTCTAAGGTGGGTGTTTTGGGCTCCACCTAATGAGGAAGGTCAGTTTCTTCTCTTAAAGGAGACTTTACCTTTTACTCACCAGGCTGCATGGTGTCCCAGGCCTAGAGGATGGGGTCCCTGCCTGGACCCCAAGTGTCTGTGGGAATGCATGTGACAAACACACCTGGCACCAATGTTGTTGCAGGAGCTGAAACCCCGATGCCACAGGCTTGGCATAGTTCCAGTGAGGCCCGGAAGCGTGACACACCTGGGATCCTTCCAAGAAGCATGGGGTCTGTGCCTGATAGTGTCTCTTTGCTGCTGGGGGCTGCTCAGGCTGACTGTCTTGGAGCTTGCAGCCCTCCTGTGTTGCCCAGGTCTGCATTCAGGATATTCCCTGGGTCCCTGTGCAGGTTCTTAGCCATATGTGGGAGGTGGTGGTGTGGCATAAGACACTGACATGCTGGCATTTGTTTGCTGTACCCACAGCCTGTTCTTACTCTTGGACCATCTTCCCTGCTGCTGTGACTATGGAAACAAGCGACGCACACCAGCTGCCCTTCCAAATTATGATTGTGCTATGCTGGGAGGAGAAGGAGAGAGAAATGACAATTTTCTGGAGACTAGGAAAACTGGTAATCAATAAATAAAGAAGGGTAAATTTCTGACAAAGCAACAGTGCTCAAGAAGCAGCTGAGCTGGATATAGTGGTACATGCTTGCAATCCCAGCACTTGGGAGGCTGAGGCAGGAGGATTGCTGCCAGTTTGAGGCCAGCTTGAATTTTGGCTCAAAAAAAAAAGAAGCAGCCAAAATTTCTTAAATGCTATATATATCACTCTCCCTTCATTCCACTGGGGCAACAACCCTACTGGGAAGTAGAGAACTGCTCCTATGACAAAGGGCATCAACAACAAGATGGCCCAAGGCCACACGGTGGGCTGGTGGCCACCAAGGGACTCAAACCATGTCTGTTTGCCTCCAGGGGCTTTTTCCTGAGTCTGGACTAAGTGTTCATTTATAAAGCACAGGCGAGAGGCCTCTGGGGCAGGAACAACCCCCACCACTGTGGTGGGTTTCTGGTCAGTGCTGGCAGTGGAGGCACTGGCTAGACAGGGAGAGGGGAAAGCAAAATCCCATACAACTCTGTGGGTCCCAGCTGTAAACTCCAATACACAACAGCAAGCTCAATAAATATCAAGGGTGGGGCTGTCAAAATTAGAAGCCTGAGAACAAATACAAAGGACAATCCCTTTACGAAGTGTCTCTGTGCAAACTACATGTGTACATTTACAGCTTACCTGTCACCTGGGTACTGGGACAAAACTGACAAGAAAGAATTCCTATTGGGAATGGCAGTGCCTTCTTTCAGAAGGATCATAGCTTAATAAGCCCAAAGCCTCATTTTCAAGCAAGACAATGCTATGCCTTTAGGTTCCAAAAGCTCACCATACTCTCTATGGAGACAGCAGACATGGGGTCTGGGCTGGCTTTGGCTCCCCCAATTTCCTATCCCTCACGTTCCCCAGCTCCAGGGGAGGTTGCCCCCACAGCTGAGGGCTTCAGCACACCACTGCCTAAGGTGGGGACCATGATCAGAGACACTTGAGAAAAGGGCCTGGGGACCTGCTGCCTTCACAGCCCTATACCTTCTGGCTCTTCCCACATTACCCCAGTCCCTCTCTGGATCTTTCACAGCCACTCCCTCCTACTGACTCTGCTTCTGACATTCTCAAAGCTAAAGAACTTTGCAATCTACAATTTGCATCTCGTAGCTCTCTAAGCCTATTATATAGAAAGCCATAGAGTACCAGCCAAGAGGCTGCCTCCCCTTTCCATTCAATTCCTTACCCGTGTCCCCACATGAAAACCCACAGACTGGACTGCGATGGGGAGTTGGCTCAAGAACTTGCTGGTGTGGTCAGAGAGGCTGTGATTTTTCTTTGACACAGGAAGTCAGAGGCTCTGGGATTTAGAATGCACCTGGGTTTTAGGTGAAGGAGGGACTTCTTTCTTTCTCCCTGACAGGAGAAGCCAGGTCACCTTTGCCCTCTGCCTTGCTGATGCTGGTAACCACACCAAAAGGCTGTTTTTTTTGTTTTTTTTTTTTTTTTTTTTTTTTCCATGAGACGCATAATGAATAGGTAAAGCCAACAGGAAAGAGCAGTAAGTGCACAGCCTGTGAGGATGCGTCTAGTCTGGAGCCTTAATGGATCAGCAGCAATTTCTAAATGACTTACTGTGTGTGACCCTTTGATCATGAGCTGGCTCTCTGACAGGTGTTGCCCAGAGGCAACACATCAGTCTTTTAAGAGGCAGATACTATCACATGATGATACAGAAGGAATTTTCAAAGAATCCCAATCAGCCCTGTCTGAGGGCAATAAAATCATACGTAGTTATTGTGCAGAGGAAAAGTTTGACTTCCAAACAGCTAAGCATTATCATTATCTCTCTTTAATGATTCTTCATCTTGCCCCACCCTGGCTTCATGACATGGGTAACAACTAGAGCTAGTCCTAACAGTATGGGGAAGGCAGTTAAAGAAAAAAACAAAACAAAAAACAGGGAGAAAGGAAAGCAAGGGACATTCTTTCCACCAACCTTGATTTTTCACTTCAGCAAATTCCTTGTTGTATTCTTCGAGAGTTTCCCTAAGTTTCTGGTTTTCCGTCTCAATGTCATGCAGGCGCTGCACTTTGAGCTGCAGTTGCTGCCCCAGATCCAGGGCTGGCACCGGGTCTGCACAACAGGAGAGCACACATCAGCCCACTCTGAACTCCACCCTCAAGGGAGGAGAGGCTAGAAGTGGCCTCCTGGGTGCTCAGGAAGCCACCTCCTGGAGCTTCTCCTGGGGCCTCACCTCCTCCCATAAAGCCCTGGGATGCCTGCCTAGGTGGGGGCTTCTCTGCTGTTTGACAAAGGAAAGACCCATGCCAGGATCCTCAACGTGTGAAAACTGAGTGGGAGTGGCCCTGCGAATCACTGGTATCTGCCAACTCTCTTGGTATGGTGCAATGCTTTAATGATTTTCGTGGGCAGCAAGGGGGAGGGCACCCTGGGAAAAATCCCTGACTGCCTAGAGCTGTGCTTCGAGAGGTACCTGTCAGCTTAAATTCCCTAATCATTTTGTGAAGCTGGAGGTAACACCTCATACTCTGGAAGCATCGATGTTCACAGAACACTTGGGTGGTAGACAGTTTCTCATTTGTGTCTCATAGTACTGGGAAGAGAGAGATGGAACAGAAAAGGAACCAAACCTCTGGGGAAGTGGAGAGACTGGTCCAAGGCTGCTTGGCTAGTCTGTGGGCACAGAAAAGGTGGACCCAAGTCAGTTGGCTTCAAATGACTACTCTTCATGACTCAGAAGGCCAGCTGATAAAGACAGGAAAGGGACCCTCAGGCTTTAGAAGAGGCCATCTATTTCAGGACATGATCACTTTTCATTGCCACCCTCCTTTACTGACGATGGATGTTGAGGACAGTCAGGGTTGGGCAGCTGCCTGGTCTGGCCAGCCAGGTCACCAACCTACTGATTATAATACAAAGCGCAGGACAGCATCTGGGCCAGCTCTGTGAGGTCTTGTGACCAAATGTGATATCTGCCATCAGAGTTCCTTAATAGCAGATTTTAATCTGAAGTTGGAGACCGCAGACATACAATCTATGGGGCTGACTCTTGGCCTCTGGTTTTACCATTCATTCAGCAGAAGACAGACATTCATTAAATGCTCTTTTGCATCTGTTCAATCTTCATTTTTTCTTCTGCTGCCTAGGAAGCAAATATAATCCACCTGCTGGGCACCAATGAAGCACTTCCTAGGAATTCTCAGATTCCGTCAGAGCAGAATACTCAAGTCTGCTGGGCTTGGAAAGATTATTGAACATATTTCTGGCATGGGCGCCAGCCTCACTTGTGAGATGGCTGTGGAGATTTAGTCTCCTGTTGTGGAATGCTAAACACCATGCACAGCGGATCAACAAGGGTATATATTCAAGAGCTCACTTAATTTTCCGATGCCAGAGACATTAATTTTTCAGACCACCCTTGCTTTGTGGAAGTGAATTCTGGGCCCCAGTAGGAGCCAGGAGCTCTCTGCAATGCCAATGTCTCTGCAGAGTTTACACGAGGCGGCGCTAGCTATGTTGGCTCAAGTCAGCAGAGCCAAGTGCTGGGTTTGATGCCAACATTGTCTATCATGCAAAAGCCCTGCCCACTAGCCATTTCTTGTGCACCTATGTATAGTCTCTGACTGTACCACCTTCTCATTTATGGCATTTCATTATTATTTTAATCAGCATTAAAATATTTATGTTAAATTAATTTCAAAAGCAATTTTGGGAGATGGTTCTAAGGAGCAGTAACAACAGGAAAAATGGAATTGTCAGAACATTTCAGGTGCAGTTTTTTGTTTTTTTGCTGGTGCTGTTGGTTTTTGGATTTAAACCTCAGTATCTTCCAAAAACCCTTCCTGTGCTTCCACTCTACCTCCATGGCTTCATGCTGGGAAAACGGCCTGAAGGAAATTAGCTGTATGCCCACAGCTGCCCCCATGTACAGTTACGATTTTAACTTGATTCAAAGGTCAGGGAATACAGGCCAGATGTACCACTGTATTTATAGAGAATTTTATTAACTTTAACTCATGTTGGTTTTCCTGTATAACTGCTAGTACCAATTATAGTTTTAAATAACTAAGCTGGTGTACTATACTCCATCCCTAAAATTCCTGTCAATATGTCCAGCCCATTCCTTTTAAAAGGCCAGGGCCCACTATGTCTACTTGGATGAGAAAATAACTTCCTTTATTTGATTCTGTAAGGAAACCAGTGACAAAAATTATATGCATATTATCAAGTGAATAGTAACTAGGCCTATGGAGAATTTCCAGAGTGTTAGAATATAAACGAAAGTCCTGGCAATCTCCTAATTACTCATTATGACATCTATATTTAATTGAACATGATTAAAGGTCAATGCTGAAGTAACAAAACTGGTCACAGAACAAGGAAGGAACTGAATATTCAAACATCTCTATACATCAAGCTTCCAACTTTACTGTATGCAGTTGAATGACTTTAAATGCCTACAGCATTTGAATATTGTTTTGGGATATGTAAAAAGCATTGCTAAAGCACCTCTTAGGCTTAATTTTTATTACTGTATTAAAGGAACAGCTAATTACCACATGACAATATAATGACTCTAGCATGTTTGGGCTGGAGACCAAAACAATGAATTTCAGCAAGCCAAACCCCGACCTGCATGCTAATCTGGGAAAATCATAGCTTTTTGTCTCGTTAATGATTTCCAATGCCATTTAAACCCCCAACAAGTATTGTTAGGTCTTATGCTGCATGTCAGAAGACTCCGATCTCAGCAGCTCAATTAGGGAGTTGTCTGGGGGAGGCAAGAGAACACACCCATATGTAAAAGAGGAACACACATAATTCCTGTAACCCCTGTCTTCCCGATCTCCTCTAATTCAACAGGCTTTGCTACTAGGTCCATGACAAACTTACAGTGTTTTATAATCACCCAACAGTTAATTCTTAAAACATTCTCTGAGATATTACTGTAGCTCATTATACAACCCAGGACTCAAAGAACGTAATTATAACAAACAACAATACTGTCACCTGTATTTATTCACCACCTTTTGCTAAGTGTGTGTAACATTATCTCATTAATTCCAGACATCACAGAGATGATGGGGGAGGGTGCTGCAATGTGTCAGGCGCTGGCATCTCACCCAGGGACAGGGAGAGAAAGGACAATGGCCAGGCAAACAGGTATGCAAAACTTTGTTTTGCTTCCCCAACCAGCAGCCAATTCTGTCTCTTCAAGTACTAATTTATCAAGTATTTCCTAAATGACTATGTGTTCTGGAAAAAGTCTGGATTAGGATAGGGTGGACACAACACTTGGTTAAATTAGCAGAAACCAGTCTCACGTGAGAGATAAACCAGGTACATAAAATAACACAGGCAAAGCAAGAGAAGACCAAGTGGATATGAGACAGATAAACTAGGCAAAGTAGTGCCCCAAGGTGATACTCAGTGGTTTTATTAATGGATAAGCAGATAGAGACTGTGGGGAGTCAGTTATGTGGGAGACATAGCAGGCGGGGAACAAGGAGCACTGGCAGGTATGGCTCAAAGAATGGTTCAGTTGGAGGCTGATATGTACATTCTATGACATCAGGGCTATTCCTGGTACTGAGGGAACATGGGAGTGAACAGGACAAAATCTCTGCTGGCAAAGGCTTGTCACAGGCTGGTGGTATAGCTCAAAAAAGCTTTAGTGAAGTGAGAGAGACAGGAAGCAAATACCAGCAAGACAATTATCTTTGAGTACTGCTAAGGAGGCAGAGAGAAAATGGTGCACAGACTCAAGAGTCCCAGGAAGAAGGGGTGGGTCCTTGAGACAGGTTAATAGGGGCAGTTCTGGAGGTGGTCTGGAACAGGGAGCTGGGTGGCAAGCAGAGTCATTTGTTTTATGCAGCGGCAGCAGCCAGTGCAAAGTGCCTAAGCTAAGTGTGAACGTGGCATGTTCAAGGCACAGAGGAAGGCAGGTGGCTGCACTGAAGGGAGAGGAGAGTGGTAAAGGAAAAGTGGTCACAGAGGAGGCTTGACCTCCAGGATTTAAAGAACAATATGCATGGTGGCACATGCCTATAAACCCAGCATTCTGGGAGGCTGAGGCAGAAGGATCCAAGTTCGAGGCCAACCTGGGTAACCTGATGAGACCCTGTCTCAAGATAAAAACAAAAATGAAAAAAGGACTGCAGATATGACTCAGTGTGAAGGCCCGCAGCTCAATATCAGTATTAAAAGAAAAATATGATCATAATAAAAAGAGAAACAGAAGATGTAAAGGAGAACCAAATTTGAATTCTAGGGCTGAAAACAATGTCTCAAATGGATGAAGCCTTGGGAAACTGTCTGAAGCACAGGGCTGTCTTATAAGACAAGTCACTAGGGTGCAAGAAGAAACTGCAATACTTCAAACCACAAATGGTTTGTTGGTTTTCTATTAGCCAAGGTGTTTAAGAGTTTTAAGCTTAAAGATGAGCTCTACAATTTTCTTAACAAAAGATAAGTGTTCCAAATTAGCTACCCTGTTCTTTGATTGCAAATGGTTGTCATATCAGGGATCTGCTGACAGACACTTTTGAAAAAAATAAACACATCATCTATGCCTTTGAAGTGAATGTGATACTTTAATACACAGTGAGGAAAAAAACTACCTCTTTTTAAAAAAACTCACTGTACAGCGACAGATTAAAAAATGGGTATTTGGAAATACTCCCGCCAACATATATGTAGGGGAAAAGACAAGAGCCTATATTAAATTGTCTCAATGCCTCATACCATACAAGGGAGAAAATCTAGAGTGTGGGCCACTGCATGTATTCAAATCCCACTGCTGCCACTTACTGACTGCACAAACCTGGACTAATCACTTATCTTCTCTGTACCTTAGTTTCTTCATCTGTAAATTCAGTGTAATATTTGCACAAGTATCATGATGTTGTTATGAGGATTAATTTAGAGAACTGCCAGGCACGGAATTAATTCTCAGTAAATCATTTACCAACTCAAGTTTCAAACCATTTGTTAATGGAATAGCTTATGACTAGTTAGCAAGAAAAACCAAATATTGGAGAAAATGAAAGTTTATTATTTGAGTTTCAGTAAGTACCTCATCATACCTGCTATACTGGTTTCAAAAATATGAA